CTACTAAACCACTTGAACTTGATCACACACACTTGTGGGGTCCCTCTCCATTGTTCTCTATGAATGGATTTCATTATTATATTTTATTCCTTGATGATTATAACCGATTCTTATGGATTTATTGTAATGATCCTAAATTTTAAATTAGTTTTATAGTAAGTAGAGAGTGGTTAATTATTGAAACTCCTGCTAATAATATTTTTTAAAGGTTCAGAGTTTGAATTCTACTAAGCAAAAAGTTCAATTTTGTTTTGTTAAAAAAAAAAAATTTGTGCCATTTCTTATAATTTTCACTGTGTCTGTCTTGTAATTTTTCCTTGTGCTTTTTATTGTAATTTTTACAATTCTCCATGATCAGCTTTTTATTCCCATTTCCATTTCATTTTCGGGAACCACCAGACGCGAGAAAGAGAGAGAAATCTAGAAAAAAAAAAAAAAACAGAGAGAGATCACCGCCTCTGCTCTTCTCCGATCCTATCTGGTCACCGACGTTCTCCATTCTTCCTCCTCCGCCAATCAGCTCGCCGTCGACAGGTGCGTGAGTTCTGTCCGTGTTGCTGTGTGTGGGTGCTTCAAGATTTTCTTTCTATTTCATTCTTTGTTCTGCCTCCTCTACTGTCGACGGTGTACTTCCGGTAGGTGCGTGGGGAGCTTGATCCGCCAGAGTTGGAGGATCGTCCTACAAGTTCTTCTTCTCCCCTCTTCGATGCAGTCGACTTCGTCTTCCTTGATTTTGAGTGGCCAGAATTCTTCCCCTGTTCAGCCATATAATCTATCTTCTTCTTCCTTGCTTGTGTCTCGTTGGCTACTTGAGGTGAGGAGCTTCGATCTTTCTTCTCTTTGCTATGTGCGTGTGATTTTGGGTTGAGGTCCTGAAATATTACGAATTTTCCTTCTTCCTCTGCTGCACATGTTTGTGGAAAAAAAAAAAAAGGGGTTGTGGAACTAAGCTGAATTTTAGTCCAATGAAGGTGATCTAGTGTAGACTTGAGCTATGTCAAAATTTATATTGATTTTGTTAAAGGAATGGAACTTGAGAAGTTGATATATTTATATATTTATGTTGGAGAATTTTGGGAAGTGGAACCGTATAGGAAGAAGCTTGGTAATGATTTAAAGTTTAATGGCCACAAGGTATTTGACAAGATGACCAAGAGGGATTTTTGTTATATAGTGGTATGATATATATACATATATGATGGGGATATTGTTGATTAAATAAACTATCATTAGGAGATAATTATTCTCTTTGATAGGTGTTGGGAGGTGAATAGATTAATTATAGATATAAGGAAAACCTTTGGAAAGGGAGTTAATGAGAAAAAGAACTTGATTGAGCATTGAGAGGAAGATTTTGAAATAAAGTGGCAAATATATATGACAAATATGCCATCATTGATTGAACAATCATATTAAGCATTTGTTCTTTGTGATGAAAGTTAAAGAAGAAATTAGAGGTTGTTGGGAGAGATATTTGAGTTTGTAATTTAAGAGCTAATTTAATATTCATTTTTGGGATATCATTGGGATATTTGATGCAATGTTAAACAAGATAAAAGTGAAAGTTTTCTTTCTTTTATTTCTCTAAATTATTTTGGATTTAAATATTTGGGTAGTAAAGCATGATTGGTGAAGTAACAATGATACTATTTGAATACTAGGAATTTTATGACAAAGCATTGACCTTCAGTACTAGTTTGGAAGTAAGTTATGCACTTGGAAACTTTACAGGTAAGTGGATAGCGTCCCAACTAAATTGTCAATTATTTTTCTTGTTGAAATTTTCTATTTTTATATAGATTATTTTAATAATAAGTATGTTGATTAGTGGATATTTTGTTATTTAAATTTCTTCACTTTTAAGTTATAAGACAGTAGTGAAGAATATTTACATCATGGCACATGAATGTTTTACCCCTTAATACTTTCAAGATTGATAAAAATCATTTTCACTAGCATTGGCAATTTTTGATTATTCGAGAAATGCAAGCATGAATATTGGATATGAAATTTTATTTGGCAAGTTTTGATGCTTGAAAACTATTCATGCGAGTTTGATTTCAGGAATAGAAATTATATTTTAATAGTGGTGATTTTCTCGCATGTTTGGAAATGGATTTGAAGGGGATTTTATACAGAACACTGGTCGCTAACGGCAGTTCCGTTAGCCCTTGGCGCGCCATGGTACACCTAGCTAGCAGGGTGTGTATAGGAGGTGCTAGCCCCGTGCGATGGCCAACGCACGTGGAACGGAGGGATGGTTATTCGTGAGCATAGTACTCACGTTTGTTTCGTAGCTTCGGCTGCGTTTGGTTACTTACCCTTGTGGATTGTGTGTCCACGTTTGTTTCGTAGCTTCAGCTGCGTTTGGTTACTTACCTTCGTGGACTGTGTGTCCACGTTTGTCTTCGTGGCATAAGCCGCGTTTGGATATTTACTATCGTGGACTGTGTGTCCACGTTTGTGAATTGTTCTGATAAATCCCCAAAAATATGTATTTTCAATTAATTGGTGATTTTATATTCAATGGTTTTAAATTGGTAAATATTATTGTTCTTATTTATTTATTTCATCGTTTTGACTTGTCAAGATTCAATGTTAAGGTTGTTTTGTCATTATAAATTTAAAGTTTATTGATGTTGAAGTTATATAGAACTTTTATTCCAAGTTTACAAAATTTGCTTATATTGAATTGTCTTTCTTTAATTTATATAAAAGTTGTAGCTATTAATTTTGATTTAAAAAAAAATAAAAAAATAAATATTATGGTTGGGACGTTATTCACTGGAAAGTTATTTTGGTCTCAGATAGCGTAGCTAAGACTGTACGTCCTGCTGATCACTGAAGGACTTCTTTTGGTGAATTATGTGTAGATTTCTTTGGTAAATATCTTCTATTGATACAAATATGAAATTTATGTATCATATTATGAAAAAATATAATTAGGTGCTCCACATAGACTATAGTTAGGGTTCTTATTTTGTTATATACTTTGTCTATTGGTTGGAAGGAGCAAAGCTCCTGGTTATTGTGATTTTTTTTGATTGAACGTTTTGTTGTAAAATTTTCGAGATGGTCTTATTTACAAGGGAAGTTTTGCTGAAATTTCTACAAGAATAAGAAAGCTTCTATGAAAATGATCACGCATGTTATAATTTAATATAAACATAATTATGTTTTAGTAATATGAAGAATTCTTTTTAGGGCTTAAGGGATGTGTGATATGATTCACATTCCGTGCCGGTCACTCTCATTTTTGGGAACGTGACATTTATCCTCTTAAAAGCAAGGATGAAGCTTTTCACATGTTTATTCAGTTAAAAATTATGCTGAAAAACAATTTGAGCATCCTATTAAGATTGTTCAAAGTGATTGGGGAGATGAATACCGAAGCTTCTCTAAATACTTGCATGATTCCAAGATTGTTTTTAGACATTCTTGTCCTTATACTTCTACTCAAAATGGAAGAGCTGAGAAAAAGCATCGTCATATTGTTGAGATTGGTCTAACACTATTAGCTCAAGCCAAAATGCCCGTCTATTATTGGTAGGAATCCTTTCACACAGCAAATGAGTTGATTAACAGGTTGCCCTGATTATGAAGGCTCTAAAGTGTTTGGGTGTGCTTGCTATCCATGTGTTAGACCATTCAACCAACATAAACTTCAATTTAGAACTAGCAAGTGTGTGTTTCTTGGCTACAGTAACTCTCATAAAGGCTACAAGTATCTGAACTCTAATGGGAAGGTGATAATATCTAGACATGTTGTCTTTATTGAAAATGACTATCCTTTTGCTATAGGATTTATCAACAAAAGTGTATCACCTAAGAAAAATAATTCATCCTCGTGCATTTTTTCAACCTCTATCTACGCAGATTTTGCAATGTACAAATTCAGGACAAGGGGAGAATACTACTATAGCACAGACACAAGTTGAATATTTTTCTTCTGGGAATTTACCTTAGTTGAAAGTGAAACAAGAATAGCAATAGAAGTACCTTTCTTTGATGATTCTTCCCTTGTTTGAGTCATTTCACCAACCATCATGATCTCAACTCCACCACAATCTCCTAAATCCACTGATTCACATGATGTACTATTTCATCTTCTCCCACTAAATCTCCAATTTTAGAAGGTCCACCTACACCAATTCATCAAGCAAAAATAGGCACTCAATGGTTACCTGAAGTAAAGTAGGCATTTCTAAACCTAAATTTCCTTATGTTGGCATGACTGAAATTGAACATGAATTTATTAGTGAACCACTTAATGTCAAAGATGCCTTAAATTAGTTGAGTGAATAAAAGCAATGGTGGATGAGTTTAATGCTTTGATAAAAAATCAAACCTGGGTTTTAGTTTCCTATAATGGACAAAGAAATTTGGTTGATTGCAAGTGGATTTTCAAAAATAAATTCAATTCTGATGGTCAGTTACACAAACATAAAGCCATACTTGTAGTAAAGGGCTTCTAACAAAGCCCTAGAATATATTTTGATGAAACATTCAGTCTTGTACTCAAGGCTTCTACATTACGGTTTGTACTTATTATGGCTATGACTTTTGAATGGCCTGTAAGATAGATAGACATAAATAATGCCTTCTTGAATGTCATTCTAGAGGAGCAAGTATTAATGAGACAACCTGAAGGCTTTGTGTATTCTAGATATCCTAATAATGTTTGCTTGTTAAAGAAGGCTATATACGGCTTGAAACAAGCACCCCAAGCTTAGTTTGAAAGGCTAAGAATTACTTTACTCAAATAGGGATTTGCGCAGTCTAAGTGTGACACCTCTCTATTTGTTATCAAACATAAATCATGTATTATGTTTGTTTTCATCTACGTTGATAACATTATTATCACAAGGAATTCCTATAGATCACTGAATCTATTCATTAAACAGTTAAATCAACTGTTTGCTCTCAAGGATTTAGGAGATTTATATCACTTTCTAGGTATAAAGGCCTATCGAGATGCTACAGGTCTCTATCTAAAGCAAGAGTGATATATCCATGACATTCTAAAGAAAGCTAGAATGGAGAACTCTTCCCATATACCTACTTTGATGGTAGTCAACAAATATTACTCTAAAGAAGATGGAACTCTTCTTCAAGAACCCTTCAAATATAGGCAATTGATTGGAGCATTACAGTGTCTTATCAACACTAGACCTGACATCATGTTCTCAGTTAACAAACTGAGTCAATTTCTCAGTTGTCCAACTGACATTCACTGGCAAGCTCTAAAACGAATACTTCGGTATCTAAGAGGGACTTCAAATCTAGCTTTACACATCAAGCCACACAATAGATTACCTTAAAAGGATTTTCATATGCTAATTGGGATGTTTGCCCTGATAATTGTCTCTCTATGGGGGGCTATTGTGTCTTCTTGGGTGATACTCTGATTTACTGGGCTGCAAAGAAGCAAAAGGTTGTGGTGAGATCTGGTGCTGAATAAAAATATTGAGCTTTAGCAGATCTGTCAACTGAGCTCACTTGGCTTCAATCTCTTGCTTGTGAAATTGGCCTTCGACTGCATAACTCTCCTGTAGCATGGTGTGATAATCTTAGTGCTTCAGCTTTAGCTTCGAATCTTGTGTATCATGCTCGGTCAAAACACATTGAGCTGGACGTACATTACATCTGTGACCGTGTACTGAATGGTCAGTTGTCTATATACTAGCCTTTTTCTGAGCAAATTGTAGATGTATTTACTAAGGCATTGACACACTTGAAGTTTTGGACTTTTAGAAACAAACTGGGCATCGTTCAAACACCAGGGCCAAGATTAAAGGGGAGTATTGAGACAAAGAAGAAAGTGAAACAACCCAGAAAGGAAGACAAGCCCAATATTCTACATAAGCCCAATCATCTCAATATTCAGCCCATACAATAGAATAAAGTTAGGATTTGACTATTCTTTATTTGTGTATACTTGTATAGATCACATTCATTCTAAGGTTACATTCCCTAAGTATTTATGGTTACGTTTGCTTGTCAATAACATTAAGCCACCATTATGCAATATTTTATTCCTTATCTAGCCTAGATCCTGGATGAGTTCGGTCAACTTTAGGAATAAGATCTTCCCCACATTTATACTTATTACGGACCACCTGAGCCTAAAGAGAATCCCTTTTGCGAATAAGACCCCACCCCATCTTCATTAAGAAAGCTTGGTTTTGTCTCTTCAAATGTCAAACCCCTAGACCACCATGCTTCTTATAACAACAAACATGATCCCAAGACACCAAATGGATCCTCTTCGTTACACTCGTTGATCCCTTGAGAAACCCCTAGATGCTCATTCAATTTCATCACAAACAGGGCTCGGTAAAATTACTATATACCTACATAGGGTAAGAAGGTATGGAAGACAAGACAAGAGTGTTGCATCTAGCCAAGGAAAGGTTAGATGCCTTCTAGTTACTAAGTCGACCTGTTACTTTGTTGACTATATAGCTATAGGTATCCTTAGTTACCCTCCCATGATGCATTAGCACCCCCTAATACTTACCCAAATCAACAGTAGGAGCAAACCGTAGAAGAGTACTTAATTGGTTGACTCAGGTATGGTTAACATTTGTAGAGAAAAATACTTGAGTCTTCGACTGGTTAACATGTTGACCCGAAGCACTATAGAATTTATCAAGACATCGCTTGATAACCTCAACTTGGTCAACTGTAAAAATAATAAGATCATCTACAAAGAACAAATGAGAGAGAGTTGGTCCTATTTTAGTAAGGCATATGGGCTGCCAAGCACCACCACTAATCTCGTCTTGGATCAAATGAGTGAGTTTCTAAATACATATAACAAATAGATATAGAGAGATAGAGTCATCATGTCTAAGACCAAGGGAGGGAGAGAATTTCTCAATTTTGCAACCATGCCACAAAATTTGCATAGTAGAGGTGATAAGGCAACATTTAAGAACATTTAACATATAAGTAGGAACCCTCAATTCTTCAAGACAAGGGAAAAAAAAACAAAATCCCAACAGATACGATCATAAGCCTTCTCAACATCAATTTTTGTAGCCATAAATCCTTTCCTTCCTTTCACATTCCTCTTCGAATGGATTACTTCCTGAGCCACAATAATATTATCTGAGCTAACTTGTACAGGAACAAAACTATTTTGGTTTGGTGAAATCACAGTAGGGAGAAATATCTTCATTCTATTTACAAGGATTTTCATAATAGCTTTGTAAATAACATTACAGAGACTAATGGGCTGAAAGTCTTTTATTGTCTTAGGATTATCCTTCTTAGATAAGGACAATGAGCGTACCACTAATATAATGATGGTTCCCTAAACACTCGATGCACCAACTGAGTTACCAAAGGGCTAATAAGATCCCATTGACTTTGGAAGAAAAGAGAATTAAGACCATCAGGCCCGGAGATTTTAGTGCACCCATGTCAAAAATAGCACGTTTTATCTCAACATATCAATCTCTAAAGATAAAACATGCCTCTATATCTCATCAAGCACTGGGAAAGACACTTCCATATATAGGCAATCACCGGCCCCCCTTCCTTCAAGAACGACGAGAGAAGAAACCCCAAGCTATTTCGTGAATTTCCTCAGCTTCATACGCCCTTATACCTTCATAATTCATCAAAGCATCAATTTTATTTTTCTTCCTCCTCGCATTCACTCTAGAATGGAAAAGTCTTGAATTCTTGTCACCGGATACGAACAAGTCGCATTTTGCTTTTTGGGCCCAAAGAAGGCTCTTTTGGATTAAGATTTCTTCTAGTTCATTCCACAACTGCAATTGCAATTCTTCAAATGCTTGATGATTACAGGAAGAGTCGATATTTGATAGACCTTCTAAACTACGGATTATGTGAGCTTTCTTCTTTCCAAGGTTGCCATGGACGTCGTCCTTCCACACCAAAATAGCATCAGTGAATTTACCAACATTAACTGAACATCCGCCATGTTCCTCCCAAGAGTCAAACATAAGACACTGAAAATCGCTATGAAGAACCCAGAAAGCCACAAATCTAAAACGCTTCTCCTTATACTATCTTACTGTTTCTTCTTCTTGTAGCCTGAACAGAATTGGACGATGGTCTGACTTGAAATAAGGGAGATTGACTATTGAAGCATTTGGAAACTTAACACCCCATTGTTCATTCACAAGGACCCAATCAAGTTTGCCTTTACAGCCCCCTCTTCGCCAAGTATATAATGGACCTTTACAACCAAGGACCATTAGTTCCAGCTCCTCCACACACCTCACGATCTCCCTATTGGTCGTGCTCGGGCTTCTAGCAAGAGAACGCCGCTCATACCCAAATAACGTACCATTAAAATCACCCCCACGCACCATGGTCTATCAACATCTATACCAACTCTGTTCAGTTCTTCCCACAATAATCTTCTTGAAGCTACATTCAGATTAGCATAAACCGCAGTGTAATAAGTTTTATCAGAACCAGCATGAAGACAAAGATGAATGAGTTGTGCATGGTATATCTTAACTTCAATGCATGACCAAAGCAGAAAATTTTCTCCTTGATTTATTCCCGCAAGGCAAAGAGTCTGATAAACTATGTTCCACGACATCGCAGGCCTTTGCACAGTCCATATTTTATGTATAGTAAATTCATGCATGGACCCTGATTGTCATGCAGCCCAAATCATAGTGCCACAAAAAGAAAAAGAAAATATCATAAACTCATTTGCCAAAGGTATAAATTTGCATCAATCCGTATGAATATAATAAATAGGTGTTGGAGAGGTGTCCAAATTTAGTGCTGACCGTTCCTCATATGAGATTGTCTTTAATAGAAAGATACTTGGGTTGGGTGCAATAAAAAAGTATAAAGCCAAGGACAAGATTGAGATGAGGTTAGTAATCCCTAAACTATGGATTCTTGCTGGTATAGTACCATACAGCCTTTGTTGTTCTCAGTTTAAGCACTGGTTTTCAAGATCCTATGGGAGAAATTTGGATGCTTGGATGTTCAGTGATAGAAGAGCTCGTGGCATCTTTCAACTCGTCACTCTTTTCTCGTTCGGCACCACCCTGGTTTATATATTTTCACAAACGAGTTTCTTTCATTTACTGCATGTTCGTGGGCTTTTCGGCTTGAAGTTCATGTCTTACGTGTGCTCTTTATTTTCTGCTTGTGTCTTTGTTGTAACGTCCAGTTTATAATGGGCCAAGTTTGTGTTTTCTGGTTGTTTTTTGATCATGTTTAATGTTGCCCTTGTTCCTAGCCCAAGGAATTTAGTTTCTTTGGGCTATTGCATCGTAAACGTTTCCCTATTTTTCAAGAAGAATGACAGTTAAGTTTTTTTTAAAAAAATTAATAACAATTATGTATTGATAAAATTTAAAAAAAATTAGTTATAAATATCAATCCAAACAGTTGTAAATTTAAAATTTTTAATTACAAGTATAATATTTAAATTCTGAATATAACAATTAGTTTGCAATTTGGATTTCTATTTATAATTGTTTGAATTAATATTTACAATTTATTTTATAAAAAAATTTATTGAGGATTTAATTGTTATTAATTCATTCTTTTGAGACTTTATTGTCATTCTCCCTAGTTTTTAAGAAAGGTCTATCCTTTTTTTTTTTTAAAAGAAAGGTAGTTATATTTATTTATTTTAAAGCTTGTTAAACTAGTGAATACAACTAGTGATAACAACTATGCAGCATTAGTAAATTCACATGTTATCAATCACATTGTAATGGTATTCATGAACTGTATCTTGATTACTTGTTAAGGGTACAATTGAAAAAAAAACATATAAATTATTTATTATATATTGTAAAACAACAGTTAAATTACAGTGAGATAAAAAATAAAACAACAATTAAAATGGGACAAAGGGGGTATATAAGATAAGCATAAATGCAAAAATTTCAACATGCACATTTTAATTTGTCTAAATTTTAATTTCTTTTTCAATTATGTTTTATTTTATTGTATTTTGATGCCTCAACTTCCAAAAAAAAACCAATTTCTTTGGTTTTCTCCACAATATCAAAATGTTTAGCAGAAAAGTCTTAGACAAGTTCTCGATGGTTAACTATTCTAATAACATTTGTCAATTTAGATGCTAGATAACATAATAACTAACGAAAATTGGTTCAAATTATGGTGTTGATGTAAGAAATAAAATTTAGAAGAAAATCTATATAAGTCAATGGACCAAGGAGTAATTAATTATGTTAAGTGAAATATTAAGATAATTCTCTCTCCTTTCTTTATGAGAGAAAGTTTAGGTGAGTTGGATTTTAAAGAATAGGTACAAATCATCCACCAACACTCTAACATTTGAAGAAATAGAATGAGATGAGAATTTTCTTTCTTTCTTTGTTTTTTCTTTTTCACAAAAACCTCAGATAAGATTCATTAACACCATTGATATTGAAATTTAAACACCTTTGGTTATAGGTTTTTTAACGGGAATTTTAGCAAGAGACCAAGTCAATGTAATTTTTGGTCAAGGCATTTAAGAAAGCATATGACATAAGAAATAAGACATAATATTTGAATGAAAACGAACAAAACAATTAAATTGTGATAGTTGAGAAGAAATCATTTATCATAGTTAAGTTTCAAGGACACGTCCATACTTTTATTATCAATTCTTTTAAATAAAGTATATAACAAGCATATGAATTTTACAATTCCTTTATACTAGTGATATAATCATGTGTTGTTGGTTTCCATCCACTGCTTTCCTCTCCTTCTGGTTTTTATATATATATATATATATATATATATAAGTAGTGATGATATAACAACTTGACACAGCACTAGTAATTAAATTCATAGGGAATGAATAATCAATCACAGTGTAATTAATGAAATGCTAGTTGCTGATATATATATATATATATATATTCACGCACAAATTTAATTGTGATCATTATTAGAATATAAGCATGAAGATAAATTTCTCAACAAACATAATTTTAGTTATAAAAAAACTTCATTTCTTTTATCTTTTATTTTATATCAATTTGGTCCCTCAACTTCTACAAACTAACCAACCGTTT